CCACATCCGCTGCTGGCCTTTTCAAGTAGCACCCCAAAACACACCTTACGCAAATTAATGTCGCATGTTAACCAGGCCCGCCACGAATGACCGGGACGACGACGGAGCGCCTGAGGACAGTCGGCTCTCTCGTCATCGTCGTCTTTAATAATGATTCATCGCCATACGGCGCGACTAATTGTTTACCGGTCGTTCACAATACCAGCCAGCCAGCTAGCGAACACTTCTGGCGACGTCGCGCCTACCATACATATATATGCATTTGTGTATCTTTTTTTCGGCCCGGCCGTTTTCCGCCTCATTTATAATTTCGCCCGTTGCGCGCCTTCCGTCTTTTCGTTGCCCGCTTGCGTTACTCTTGTCATTCCAATTGGCAGTCGAGTATTTCGTTAATTACGGATCTGTTTCACGTTCGGTTTATTTTCCATTTCGCAATGTTTTACGCAACCCCAGTTTTGTACAATTATATTCACTCTTTCTCAGATTATGTTTATGCTACGGAGTATCTTCTCTGCATCTAGATGCAATTATAGAAATATATTTTTAGATTTTTTATTTCGACGTTTAGTAAAACAATTTTATTTACAGAAAAATATCTTCTCATATTCTTAAATAAGAATGTATATATAAACTTTTATCGTGCTGTCAAAATTTTAGAAAGCAAGAAACTTATATATATTTCAACATTTATTAATAAAATAATTCTTTTACGTTCACAAATAAAAGTTGTTATTTAAAAGCTTTTTATATATATAAATGTTTATACTATCGCAGATGTATTTTAATATAAATGTGTCGTGCAACAAAGTAATTGTGCTAAATTTCATTCGACTGATGTCCTTAACATACTTTATACGTGCAGGTGGCTCAAGCAAGATACAATCTCCAAATTAATAAATGCAATGATTAATAATTCAACCGACCTAATAACTTCAACCGGACTAGTTATTCAGAAGGTGTGCATACACGAGATCTAAGCACCGGCGTTGCGACAACTCTTGCGTGCAAGTTTAGATAGCATCCCGGTATACACAAATATTAAATGCAAGGTGTTAATAAGATAATGATAACTCGAACAAAAATATGTATATAAAGCAGTAATGTGTTTTTTCGCTATACATTGCTTGTTCCTGAAACCGGGTAGAAACAACCACCATCTTGCGTGGTGAACGTGAATTCAATTGAGTTACACATGTCCCGTGTATATTTTTTATTAATAATTAGAATTTTAATATGTTTCCGATTATAAATATCTATGAATCAAATATCTTTCAAAGCTGAATTTTTATATGCAAATTGCATAATGTATGGAAAAAATGATATATTTGAAAACTTGTATCTGCAGTAGATATACATTTATCTGTGACATGAATGTCGTTTACTGGCTGCTGATCTGAATTTTAAGCACCTTGAATATATATTTCAACTTATATAATTATAAAAGAATTAATTTAACAAAAAAATTACATTCGTGAACAGGTCATTTAAAAAATTTGAAAATTAAAAAAATCAAATAAAAGCTATGTATAAAAAGTTTTTCTGCTAATTATATACAAAATCTGTCAATTAAATTAAATTAGTTAAATTGAATTAAATATGTATTAGGATGTTCGATTTTATTAATTAATAATCCCACCATTAATTAATTTACGCCGAATCATCGTTCGATAGCAAGGTCTAATAATTACAATCGTTCCATTTTTAGTTAAATGGAAAAATCCTGATTTAGGAGAAAGAAAGAGATGCATTGCGGGAAAACCCGCATATGTCTCACTATCAAATTCCTGAATAATCTGTACCTAAATAATTTGCACGATTTATGATCCGCTCTATTTACTTACATAATTTCTTTCATTTATATTACTCACACACGCGTTTATATCATCGGTGTAGCTTCGAGCTTTGATGTTTCGGATTTTCTATTTGCATCCTTCTTTTGTATCTTTTTCGTGTCTCCTTTGCTTTATCTTTCACTTTTTAAAAGGCTTTCTTGAATAAGTAAAGTTATTTCATTTATTATATAGTTACCTACACGTGCGATTATAATGTCGGTATAATTTCGAGCATTTTCTACTAGCATAGGAAATAAATATGTATATACATATCATTTATTTCCTTTTTGCATTATCATTTTAATTGACGTATATTAATATTAATCTTGAATATTAAAATTATTAATTTTAATAATATTATTAATATTAATATTATATTAATATTAATAGGTATTATTAATATTAACTTGAACTTTGACTATTTCAAAATAATGTTAAATATTTAAAGGTTGATCATCAATATACTTTTTTATTGCTAGATAAAAAAAAGGATTAATTTTGAAATTCAATATTTTTTTATTTTGCTGATATAATATAAAAGAAGATACATTTTATTTAAAAAAGATTGTATTAAAAATGATTAATATCTATAAACTTTTAAAACTGAGAAACAATAAAAATATATCTATGCAAAACGGGTTTTATGTATGCAAAAGTTTAATAATTCTTATAAAGCGGTTTTTTTCCGTGACTGTAATAAATTAAAATTACGAAACAAAAAACGGAAATCAGGATGAATAATTTTAACGAGACAAAAGAGACATATTATACGTCTAGATAACTTTTATTAACCAATATAATCATGTATCGTTACAAATGATGTGGCAATGACGTGCCGATGCAACTCGGATTACAATGAAATTGGTTTTGTTAACGGTATACAATACAGTGAAAATAGGAATCGATGAATGAGCGAATTTATACGAAAATTTACAGACGTATTTCGTCGCTACTCGACATTCGAAGAACTGCTTATACCACAACATGTAATTTATACTTTTATTTTTTTTTGTGTCCTGCCTGCTATTATCGCCTGCTCTGACGAAACGTTAACTTCTTCCGTTCTATGCCTGCCATTGTCCTGCTTCCTCCTTCGATACAGTGTAACTCTGGTAAATCCGTGAGTGATGTCATTTGTGCGCGCGCATATGTATATGTATGTATGTATGTTTGCGTATAACTGTGTGTATACGTGTACAAACTGTAATTATACTCGAAGACATCGAAAACTCACTACATTATGTTAAATAATAATGTGTCGCGGATTTGCTTCCGGCGCGCATACATATGCAAATTCTTGCTGTCTTTTTTTTTCGTTTATTTCTTGCACATTCGTGATTTACAATTAGTGCTATATGAAATAAAATAAATTGTTATTAATATAAAAAAAATTACTTAAACATCTGTGGACTCATATGTATATTATTATTAAATAAACTACTTATTAAAGAATATCAACCAAATATCTACGTATAATAAATACTATTTACGTAAATAAAAATTTAATAAATATATAAATATATGTATGATAAATGACAAGTGAAAATATATAATAAATAAAAAATGACATTTGCGCGATAAACTTGCATAATTCAGTTCCAAATTAAAAGGAAAAAAATAAATGTCAGTGCAATCATTTGCAATTGAATCTTAGTTCTCGCGTGCGATTCCGTGGCCTTATCGCAAATCCGCGACTCATTAGTTAGGCTTACGGCTACTATCGAGATATTGATGTACATATACAAGAATCATGATTTTTCTCCTTACAACACGGGTATAGAGTATACAAAGACGTTGTTTGCCGAAGAAAAACAGTTCGCATCGTATCATTCTTTTTCCTATTATTATTTTCTCTCTCTCTCTCTCTCTCTCCCGTTCTTCTCTCTTATCTCATTCTCTTATCACGCATATGTATATTGAGGGCTACGCATTCGTTAAACGTGGAAGGGCCTCGGCTTTATATATTATTTCTCTTCTTTATACCATTTTTGTTTACGGGAAATCGATAAAGGATTATTGGTTCTCTTTCTGTGTATGTTGTCCTTCTTCCTTCTCTCCCCGAATCCCTTCAATTATTCGTTTCGGCTTTGTTGGTCCGGTGTGGCAGTGCCTTGTTCATTAATTTAATTCTCATAATGATCTCTTTCGCTATGTCGTCGTGATTTTATCCCTTCTGTCACGTGATTGTGACCAAACTTGCAATGGTGCAGAGTGTCGGTGAAAAGATTTCTGCAAGAAAAACTCTTCTTTTGCAGTTCTGTGATGAGATACTTTTTATACTTTCGCAATTAACGATTTTGATCTTTAAAACAATATTTACTTATTATCAATATTATAGATTCTCACGTGCTAATTTAATTATGTACTTTTCATTAATTAAGTTTACAATAAATGTAAAATGTATGAGATGTTGCTTTGATTTATTGAATTTTATATTACGTAAATAAATAATATTTATATACTTTATGTCATAATTACATATGTCAAAAAATCATGTCTTGTATAAAGTAATAATAATCATGCGAGAAATTAGAAATCTATCTGTGCGCATAAATATCTACATCACTGTTTGGACAATAAAGTTAATCGTTTCACAGACACTTTGCTAGATAATTATTTACTATGACGAAGAATGATTATTGTTATTTACATATCGCGCAATACTCCACCTACACAGCTGCGCGCATCAAATTAATACAAGTGTTTTTTATTATATATATATATATATATATATATATATATATATATATTTATATATATATTTATATCATGTTTATTTTTTAATAATGTCATTTTTGGATTATAATTATGTATAATCGATCGTTAACGGCTGCTTTTTAGTAAGCTTCCGGTGCAATAACATTTCTCTCATTTAGCGCACGCGCGCGTTATACTTATTATTTATATTACTCCTAATAATTAAAATATTTAGACTCGAAAGCTAAATACGTCGACTGGTGTATAGTTATGTCTTTTGTCAGGATCCCGGGTATACTTGTATATATTATTGTTTTCTCTTTTTTGCGGAAAAATTTTATTCAATAAAATTTACGTATTTTGATAAATTCTATTGAATAAAATTTAAAAAATGTAAGTTTGTTTTTAAGGAGAAGGGAGCATTTTTTCACAAGGTTCGTAGATGAATTCACAAAGTATAGTCTCTATATATACGACAAACGTTTTCTTCTCAACGATCTACATATCAATAGCGAAGTAAATGCGAAGGATCGATATCTCTTCGAGATATAGGCTTAAATACTAATCAATAATGATCGTAATGATTATTTCTTATATTTCGTGAAGTGGTGTGCGAGCTTCTCTATTCGCGTATATATTCCTTGTATTTTTTTTTCTACCTTCATGTATTCCCTTCCTTAACTCTTTCAGGGGCCGGGAAAGCGTATTTTGTGCAGGACCTCCGAAAGAGAGAAGCTAGTATGCTAAGAGAGCGAAACTTAGGCACTGTAGTTCACAAATTAAACCACATCGCACCAACATAGAAACGCACAAAAGAGTCGTGGCACCTAATACATTACACTTGTGACTTATACATATTCGCGTGAAGTACATACACAAGCTGCACCATCGCCCCTCAAAGAATTAAGCCATTCGCAACGGAAAGCCTTGACGTTCGCGAACATCTCGCGGTCATATATATGTATGTATATATGGCAGAAAATAAATTGAAAGGACAAACACGTACGAATCGCTTTCCGCTGTAAATAAGCCTTTTTGTCGCGAAGTCACATTCTTGAGACTCCCCTTTCATAACTCTACGTACACCTTAGTCACGTAAATCTGCATCATAGCGCGTAACTTCCGTTTTACGTTCGCGGAAACTCCTCGAGTAAGTGCCATTTTGAATACTCGGCGAGCCCGAAACGAAATATATCCGCTATGTACAATCGCTCGTCTTGGCTTCGAACACGCGGTCGTCTCTTCTCTTCTTCATTGACTCTCTCTCTCTCCCTCTCCGTTCAAATATTTGTTTTAACGTGCGTACTCTTCGTACCAACTGCTCGCGATGAAGATACGACGAAGATACAGCGATGTCGTTGTTCGCGCGTTTACTTCGAAGAGCGCGATTGTTGAAAAAGTATGTCGATAAAGGGATTCGAAAAGTTTCAGAAACAATTTTGTACTCTGTAGCACGCGACGAGAAACAATGATGATAAAGATTCTTCCGAATGCGTGTCCCTTTTGAAGGGACGGATCTCTCGTTTAGATTTGCGCGCTCGTGATCGTGAGGAAGCACTCGCGTTTCGGGGTTGAAGTGGCTCGAGAGAACAAAGGGATCTGTCGCGAGACTAAAAATCGTCGCTTAATTATTATATTTTCTTTTTAAGCAAACACAGCTCTGCGAAAATTACCCTGTTCTATACGTAAAATCTCTCGAGATCTTTCTTCAGTTGGACTTCGACCGCGAAGGATGCAATCACATCGTGGATGACATTTCGTGGTGCATCGAGTAGATCAAGTTCCCGTTCGCTATTTTTTTTTTTTATGATCGTGAAATTATTTCGATAAAGTATATACGAAAAATGAATTTGTTTTTTTTCGACAGTCAGCTGATCGATTTAATTACGACGAATCTTATATAATTCTGAATCAATTAACGTCTTGTAAGATAAATACCAGAAAACGTTAACCGAATACTGTAAAACTTAAAGACTAATTTCGTCCGCTAAATATCGAGATTTATAAAAATATGAAATATTTAGTTAAACATCGCATTTATAACATACGAGAATAGAAAGAGATTCGTCGTCTCGTTTCGACTCAAGTTTTGCACAAAAGTATATATCACAGCGATCCGATATATCTTCGTAATGAATGAAATAAGAAACAAATTATCGGACAATTATCGGAACAATCTAAATTCTTGCGAGTGTGAACTGAATTGTTGTCTACACAGTGCTGATGCGCAATGGGGCGAAGATACACATACTGGAATACATATAATGTTATACATATAAAAGTAGAAAATTTGGTGGCAGTATAGAGATCGTGTAAGGTGAGAAACGCGCGGTGAAAGGGAAAATGCAATCGCATTTCGTGAAACGCTAATATCCTTGTTGTTTTGTGCTTCGTTTTTTTAACGCCGAAATCGGCGAAATCCTGTCTATAGTCGACAAGATCGTCGACAGGATCGTCGATCGTCCAGATCCGTCCTCTCCTCATCGTCTCCTACTGACCAATGCTAAGACAACGTAAAAAACTAAAAGAAAGAAATACAACTTGTACACAAAACAGAAGATAAAGAAACAGTTCGACACGATCATATCTGGCTCCACTTTACACAAAAGCTCCTCTTCGAGGATGTCAGATCGACCTTGATCGTATCACTCTCGAAGTGTCTCTTCAGATGTCTCTCTTTCTTTCCTTCTCCTTCTTTCTTTCTACCTGCTTTGTCGATAAAGATTTTTTTAACGAGATAAATCTCCAACTTGAATTCATGGAATTTTCAACAATTATCAACGACTTGGATATCATCTGAAGGTCTCTTCGTGCAACGGGCGTGTTAGACACGCTATATGTTTGATTATTCCGGCTGATCCATCGTTTTCCAGTTTTTCCGTCCGCCGACTACCCCAACCAATCTTCTCTTCTCTATATCGTTTCAAGCTTTTGCCTTCCTTCGAGACCCGAAATCGATGTACGTGATCGAGGTCGTCGAGCATCCTGACCAGCTTGCGCTCGCCCTCTTGTTCCAACTGACGATCACTCCGGACGATTGACCATGAGGAGGTTCCTCGCTCGTCTACTCCAGACGCGCCTTGTAGCTAGTCTTCCAGATCTCGGCGAGCGTGACAGCGCTGTGGAATCTGTGGAAGATGCACAGTGGCAGAGTGACCCTTTGCACGATGGCCCAGGCTAGGAACCCGTAGAAATCGAGCTGCACCGGGTTGGCGATGACCTTTTGGGCCTCGAAGGTGTAGATCACCCACATAGTCACGTTGCAGATCAGCAGGAAAGTGACAACCTGCCTGCCGGGCTTGCTGCGATCGTGTTCCGGCAAGTGGACACGCCTGCGCGACACGTCAGCGATGAACAGCATCTGCAGGACCACCTGGGCGACCGCGAGCAATCCAGTCACCATCACCAGGAGATTCGGTTCGTGCGTGAAGGCCGCGAGAGAGCCGGCGATCACGCTGAAGACGGCGTAGATGAAGAGACCGAAGGCGGAGACGCGCAGGAGGATGTCGTTGAGATCGCTCTGCTCCTCGGCTTTGAACTTGAGACCCTGCACGCGGATGAAGCCGATGATTATGGCGATTATGGATAACGCCATTAGCACGCAGTGAGACACGTCGGCGAGATAGATCGCGAGCAAACCGAGCTCCGGATGATGGATCAGCACGAAGAAGAGTATCAGGCATATGAGGGAACCAACCAGAAGAAGCAAGCCGAAGAAGAGACCTTTGCTCGCTCCCACGCAATCGACTCTGGTGTGACCTAATCATATTTTTCGTTACAACTCGATAAATCAAATAAGAGAAATTCATAATATTCGCTCGATCCGGAAATAGAATCATTTTGCGATGCTGCGTGTTCGATATTAAACTAGTGAAAATCTGAAATGCGACATTACCTGCATGAGCAAGAGCGACGGCTCTTCGAGAGAGCATGGCCTCCAGGCGACGTTCGAGATCCGCTTCGGTCTGATGAGGCCAACGCGGATGTCGGCCGATATGCTTCCACATGACGTAAATCACCGCGGCTCCAATCAAACTGTATTCGATTATGAACGGGAACAAATACGGCGCCGCGTCCTGGACGATGCTTCCCATGATATTCACGCGTCCGCACGAGTTGGACACCGTTCCGTCTTCCGTCAGAGCCTCTGCGTAGATACCTAAATTCGGGGTCCAGTATTCGCTGTTGTTCGTCAAGTTGCTCACGTCGAAGATCTGCGGTACCTAAAAAAAAGGCGGACCAATGATCAATCGTCTCATCAACAGCATCCATTTTCAGAAACATTTGGAAATTAACTCGAACCTGATTATCCATAATATCGCTTTGCGGCGCGTTCATGAACTCCATCATCTGAGACCAGAAGGTGGTGGTAGCCGGTGTAGTGGTGCTGGTGGTGCTCGTCGTAGTCGGGATAGTGGTGATTCTTTCGGTAGTCGTGGTGGTGGTGGTGGTGGTAGAAGTACTGGTGGTTGACGGGGTGAACGTGGTCAGGATAGTCGACAGGGTCGTGGCCGCGCTGGTGGTCAGATTAGGCAATATCGAGCTGGTGGTCGACGGGGTCGTCGTGGACGGAGTCGTCCAAGTGCTTGTGGACGGGCTGGCCGGACTGGAGGAGAACGCGTCCGCGACAGATCTCGCCGTAGTCGTCATTACGCGGCCCAGAGCTGCCACGGTCGCGCTGGTCGTGATGGTCGGCGCGATGGTCGTCGACCTCGTGGAGGTCATGAGAGGAGCCTCCCGTAATTGCGCCATGTCACGCGGCTCGGTACCCAATATCGCCCCGGCGTTTCGCATCGAGTGCTGCTTGATGCTCTCTGCAAGTGTCGGGGCGCGGTTATTGACATGTCGTCGAGAAGCGCTTTTGAATCGTCAAAGCAATCGAGTCCGCAAATAGATCGCTTACCAAGAATCCCCGCCTGAACCTGGCCTAGTTTTTTATGATACTGAGTGATCTCCTTGAGACTCTCCAGAACCAGAGTGCGTATCCATACGCAGAGATTCGTCGCGACCACGTGCATCAGACCGAAGCGAGCGATGACTTTGAAACGATGAATGTTCAACTGTGAACAGAAATATAATATCATACGCGATACAGTTTGCTTTTAACAACATTTTTTTATTTATCTGTATTCGTTTGCTATTGCCCAGACAGCACCAAGTCCAAAATTGGCGCATCAGATATCATTAAGAAATCCTTAAGACAGCTTTAAGAAATCTTATATGATATAATATAATATTATATATCATAAGATTTCTTAAAGCTGTCTTAAAGATTCTATAAGATATATATACATCCAAAAAACATCTTAAAGATATCTTAAAGATATGCTCCGATTTTGGATTTGGTGTTGTCTGGGTTATTTCGAATTGCATATACGTACTCGGGAATTCATGAAGATGAAGTACATTTGCATAAAGGTAAAGATCATTTGCAACACCGGGTTGACGCCTTGTAATATCTGATAGCAAGGTGATGTAGGTGGCACCTCGAAGAATGCGCCAAATTCCAAACCGTTGTATACCATAGTACCCAGTCCGAAAGCTGATTACGACGTGATTAGTTTAATTATTTCGTTGTTATTCTCATCGTTTTTTAGAAGCAATTTCTAGTATCATCAAACATTTCTCTCACCTATTGCGCCGATTCTCAGGAAGAAACTTCCATGGCTATGATCGTTTTGCGTAGTTTTTCGTTTTCGCAAGACTCGCGTGGCTACGCCAGCTTCAACATCGGTTGCATCCTATGAAAACGATATTTATTAAGATATACTTAATTGTAAAAATCTAATTTTAGACTCGAAAATTGATTTTACATCGACAGAGAAATATGCTTAAAGCTAGAAATATGGCGTATTACATGAAAATAATTGAGTTTAAAAATTATTTTTAAAGTTGATTATAAACTGATTTTATTTGTTTATACGATAAAGAGAAATTATGCCTTTGCGTTCGAAATATTATAGACATAAAATACGATTGATAGCAATGGTTGACCTGATTACGTCAGCGTCAAGAGTATCCGCATTACTTAAGTGTTACACGTGCTAATTTTAAAATACGTTTCATGGGTAACATGCCATTGAAACATAGCCGTGAAACTTGCTCGAGAAACGAAATTAACCTGTTGCGGTGAGTCACGTTTCTGTTGAATATTTAAAATTTATTTTGATTATCTTTAAATAAACTGGCTATAAATAATTTTACAACTTTTTTCAGTAGATTTTATCGCAAGAAACGATAAATTGTTTAAAAAATCTCTCGAAGAATTTTTAAAAACTATAGAAAAACTGTTAAATAAATAATATGTATAATAAATCGATTACTAAAGGATGCAGCGATATTTTGATAAGTATCTAACATTGATCATTAATTGAAATTATGTTGAGTAATTAATTGACTTGGCTGATTTGTTGCTAATATTTTCAGAATAGCAAATATTTTTTTTTTCGAAAAACCTGTGTTTCCTTTGGTTTGGTCTTCGGCTGCTTTTGATCTTTTTCTTTCTTGTCTTTCTTCTTAGTCTTGTCCTTAGCTTCCTTAGAGGTCCAGCCAGTTTTAGGTGGCCTTGGTGGCGGTGGCGGTGTATCACTTCCTCTTGCACAGCAGGCGCTCTCTTGCAAGAGGAAGCAGAAGACGTACAATAGGAACAGGATACTCATGCCGTATAGATACGTGAAGAATCCCTCGTAATAGTAGAGCGGTAGTTTGTGCGTCACCACTTCGCTTATCACGTAAGTGATGCACACGACTACGAGCAGTTTCGCGTAGATGAAGCTCATGATGATAAAGAGCGACGTTCTGAAATGAAAAGTTTGTCCGTAAACTTTTGTTGTACTTGGAATAAAATGATGGGTATCATCTCGTAATAATATGACAATAAACGTCAAATTGTCATTCAGTCCGTGTGTGATAACATTAGAAATCAGTTGCATTAATAGATAATTGAATTGTTTTGTCGGATTTGTTGGATCTAAACAATAATCTCACCCTTTCTTTTGAACAATTTGCACCCTGCTACTTCGTCGTGGCAGTATATCATTATTGCTTGTTTTACTATCGACGAACGGTACTACTTCGACTTCCATGATGTTGGTTGCAAAACAAATTTGCACGCGACGAAATAACTTTTAATTATTTGCTTTTATTAATGAACGTTTTACTTTCTTTGCGCAGCAACTTCTGCTTTCATATATTCTGCACAGTTTAAAATATTTTTTCAATTAATGTGTTACTATGTATATTTAACTATTTATCAATTTATTAATTGCCTGTAAGAGCACTAAACGTTTTACATGTCGTCTATACCGTGTCCTACTTCGATTAATAACGAGCGTCGACTGTTGCGCTCGTGATTGCACAAGTCGATTCACACGAGCGTGCTATTTCTGTTTTTGCTTTTCAACTATGATGACGTTTCGCCTCATCGAATTTTCATTGTTATCACCGAATATAACCGGGTGTCCTCGATATTCTATTTAGCTTACACATAACACACACCTATAAATTTAATTTTTATTATTAATTAAAGATACTTTATATATAATCAAAGAATCATTTATGAAAATACAAACACACGAGCATTCAAATATCACGCATTTATTTTATTAGATTTATATTAGCGATTAATGGCAGAGAAAAATTACACGTCACTTAATCGTATTATAATGCATTTTCTTAGAAATTGACACGCACAATTTAATTGAAGCCACTTGACATACTTGAATTATTGATTAATCAAAATATGTAAATAAATTTATATATAATGATTTTTGAATATCAATTTAATTCTAGTTATATATATTTTTTATAATATACCAGAATTAAATTAATATTAAAAAAATGATAAATATTTCAGAAAATATTCCACGAATTAATGAAATAGCAATGAATTTAGGGATTGTTGTGCACCGCTCGATCTCGGAAACGGAAGATTACTCTGAACGCAACAACGGGGTCGATCTTCAATAACAGTTGACCTGGTGCATTCGCTTTTAATCGACGAGCATGACTGCCGCTCGAACATCTCGGACGTACTTATCCGCGCGCCTCATCCTCGTTACGCTCTTTTTCTCGCTTAAAGGTTAGGCAGCGCAATCGATACTCTATATATAATGCCGGTCGCAAACCCGGCGCCGCGCGATCTCACCAAGAATCAATCGCGCGGGAAATGAGGCTCTTCCACGGGAAAACGAGGCCGCGCGCACGCAAGAGGGATCGGATTCGCTCCGCTTCGCGAGATGCAACGACGCCCGCGCGACACATGTATGCGTTACGTCTACGTCGAGAAGGGTTTAACCGCCCTTTGTCACCGTGGCATTTCAGGGGGTTGGGGCGCAGACTTTATTATGTGTCCCGTACGGAGTCTGTGTGTTGTCGTACTCACACTCGCGTCAGGGATTTTTTCTCTCCTCCGGATGTGCGAGACAAGCGGGATGCGCGTTCGAGCAGAGGTGGCGATATTTTCCGTCTCTTCACGAGAGAGAACGTGGATCGCTATTTTATTTAAAACTGTTGCTTCTAAAGTTTCACTCTCTCGTGTTATAATTTATTTTATAATATCAAAGAATCGCCCAGGATATTGCGTTAATTATAGATGATTCAGTTAATTGACGGGTGATTTTATTCATAGAATATGACGAGGAGGATCGTCATTTATCTTATCAATTTTTATCACTGTATATTTTTTTTTTATAATTAATATATGAATTAAAATTGTGAATTTGTTAAAGAAAAATTAAATACACATTTATAAAATTAATCGACGAATTTGTAAAAAGAAAGGTTAATGATTTCGGTACGTCTTTTATATATTGCTGGCTGATCTTATCGACGCGCGAATTTATATTAAGCAAGCGAACGTATTAATTACACTGCGCGAATTGATGTTAATTAGCTGAGGAGCCGTCTAACTAAGCCGTTCCTAATTGAATTGATCGGGCAGACCTCACGACTATTGTTCACCACAATTGGGCTGGTGCGTTTCAATGACAATGGATGAGTTTCTCGCGCTGGGTATTGCACAGTATCTCAATCTATTCGATTCATTACGCGGACTCTTGATACCGAGTCGAACCGTAAAACGGCAGGAGTTCAGGAAATTATCTGACCTACAAATTCAGGAAATTTCACGATACTTCTACCTGTTTGAAATTATACAAAAGCAATATAAAAAATTATTATTATTATTATTATATAGAACTTTTTTATCTTTACATCTCTTAGTTTTCCATGCGACTATATAGATTTTATCGGGAATAAGTTAGCAGACAGCTGCTCTAAAGAGCGGCAAAACTATCGAGGCAAAGTGGCCGCAATTTTTTTCTTCCTATACGGGAAAGAAACGACGCATTTTGCACAATCAGCCTCTTTCCAGTCGCGAACAAGGAGCGTTGCGAGTAAATGGTAACAGTAGCGCGGACGTGGAATCGTGGAACGGTCCAGACTGGTCGATATCTCGAAGTACCTACTTTCGGTGCTCCTCCCTGTTTCCTCGCCCTCTTATGGGCTTAACCTCGTCTCATCCGTTTTCAAGACTCCGTCATTTCTCAAATCCTTTCAACCGGAACTTTACTCGAGGATTAAACTGTCCGCGTATATTCGAATCGAGCTTAAAAGTCACCCTCGTTTAAATCGCTGTCATCGAATACTATAATACTATATGTTGTACCTATATTGGGAATTACTGTATCGATTATATGCATCGAAAAAAGCTATTCCAGCAATTTAAATACGCAATTTACCTCAATACGTAATACATTTTATTTCCATATTTTACACGTAACCTTTGTACGTTTAACCTCGATAGTTAGATCTTTAGTCATTTACATTCTTTACTTTGCCTGTGCCGGCACACGAGAGAAACCTAGCAGTAATTTTATGATTGGCGATAACCGGATTTGCATCGATTCTTCTTGATTGCCACGGACTGTTTGATCGGTTGACTTATTTTCGCACCGAAAAAAATCAATCTCGAACAATCTTAGTTAATCATGATTGTTTAACGAATTTTTTTAATCGTTAAATTAAATTACAAATAAATTTAATTAAAATTAAATTACAATTTAATTTTTTTTTAATCTTTCGCAAAAATTAGTTAATTATATTATACTTAATTATATAGTTAATTAAATTATAATCCGTCTTAGCATTTGACATTTTTGAATTAGAAATTTGGGCGAAACCGCTGTTGCGATACGGTGCACTATATTTCTCGCAAAACCTTGATTAATCGCCGGACTTTGGATAAATTTTGGAATTGCTTTGCGCTTACAACAACACGGTCGGAAATCTCAATTTCTGAGTTAATTAAATTTAGGTAGAATTACACCCGCGCGCGAGAGATTTGTGGCGGCACTGTGTTTTGTGGCGGATGCAACGCGTAGACTGCTGATGGCATTGGCTCGAGACCGTGTTAATGCAATTGCGACTGCGGCTGTGTAATCCGAGATACCTATTGCTTCGTCGCGAGATGCACATATGGCATATGGCTACACTTGTCGTCGAATCGATATTTAGTCAATTGAAAAGTAGCGCGCGAACTGTCCGATTTATCCGCGGACTCTGTACTAGTTTTTTATATCAAGTCGTCCGTGAAGCCATCACCTACGTCACCTTGGAGCTTTGTATATGGATTTCAAATAGTAGTTAGTAAAAATAATTTTTCAATCATTTTTAAAAATCGAAATCGCGGATTTCCATTTCGTTTTATCTTTTTTTTTTTTTTTTTTAAACGATATTAATTCACCGAAGGTTAATTAATTGCTATTCGTCGCGCGTGTACATACATATTATGCACGCTCGTTTATAGACGTGATATAAGCGTCACGTATCCAAGCCGTGCACGGGTTAACGAACTTACATCGTAAATAGAAATGCAAGCCAAACTCGACTATCTCGTTTCCATTTCGAGCCCCTGTTACTATTTTCTCGCAAGCCGGATGTTCTTTGGGAGCAGACTACGGCGGTAATGTGTGACCGACGCTTTCTAGCCTTCTGTAATTATTCGGAAACAGAGGTCCAGCCTTCGCATGTTAATTTAATACAAATTGGTATGAATATTTGATTTGTGAAGGCTGTATACATATAGAAATTGTTTATTATGCGCTGCGAAAAATTACTTTCGCGGTTTTGACATTTTTTAATTTAATATCATGTTATTCTTTGTGGAAAATCGTAAATCGTAACGTTATGCAAATCTTCTGCATAGTTAATTTTATTTAATCTCATAGAGCTGTGACTGTGTACGATTCGTTGCCTTTCACGCTTCGGATACGAATGTTTTCGTTGTAGACAGACGCATCGATGTTTCTTCATTCGTAAAGTTATAATATTTGTGCTATTACACATGCGCAACCGGAAATTAATATTGCGTACCACACACGAAATAGCTCGGAAATTGTAAATATCGTGTTTTAAGCATTTAAATTAAATGCGATAAAAATTATTAGTTTCTTCATAAATATTAGATAGTTTCGGTATATTTATATAATACGATAAAAAATTAAATTTTAATTTAATCGATACTGTGCTACGATTCCCAACACTTTAAAACGTAAAATAAAATTTTTATTTAAATTACTCTCGAATTAATTAACTCTTATTATGCTTTGGTCGATTAGAATCAGCGTTGCGCGTAAGTCACGCCAGTCCTAGGGCTGTAAATTCGCAAACACGTAATTAACGTGTTGTTAAATAATTATACTCTCTTAACGTGTACGTTACCATCGGCCTAAATAATGCTTATACTTGACCTAGATTTCATTCCTGCATAGAAAACATCCAGAGTTCGTAATTATGTATCAGCGAAATTATTCGAAATAAAATAACAGTATGGATCAAAAAAGTCTTTGCAATCTACATGTCTTCTTGAGATAATTTCATAAAAAAATATAATATATTGCTACGAAAAATATTTTATTTAATATATTATTCGAAAAAAAAAAATTCTGTTAAAACAAAGAACGTTTTGAACGGTGCGAATATTTGTTCGATCAATTATGCGTATAGAATGCAAACATATATATATGGGGCGAGAGTCTTAAATTCAAGAGAGAGAGAGAGAGAGAGAGAGATCGTTTTATTCATTCATCCCAACAATGCGCGCCTTACTTTTTCGCTGGCGTCGATCGCACGTTCTTCAGCTCCATCTCTTTGTTCGCGGCATTGTTCTTCTCGGCGTTGTCCTGTGCATTCGGCGGCGAGTTTTGCGGATTCAGGGGTCTGGTGACCGGAAGGGTCGCCGTGTTGTCGCCCGCGGCGGCTGCCTCTACCTCCACGGTAGCGACCTTACAGTCACCACCGCCCACCATCGTGGATTTCGTCTCGTTTCACAAGCTCCTGACGATTGTCAAAAAGACACTCAGCGATCTCGTAACAAATCGATCTAACTCCCCCGCGTACTCAAGTGCCCCCTACGAGGTGGTGGTCGTGCGTTTCGGAGCTTACTGGTACCTACGTCGCCATTTTGGTGCACGCCTCGGTACAAATTGGGTTTATAGGAATTACCGTTCTGCTCGGAATCGGATTAATTAATCGCGAAAAAAAATCATTTCCACGGTGGTAATATACAGATCAATTTCAAGAGTCGGGAATAAATCTGTTACGTTCTATCGTTCTTCGGTTATATTCCGCTTCGCCGGAAGCGCCTGCGCTTTGACTCTCCACCAATTTTTTTTTGAATCGTTAAAACCCCTCTCTCCCTCGTAATTGCGTATTACGTAATATGATTCAGTAATATATTAAAATCTGATACGCTGATACATACTTGAAACATTTCGTTCAAACCGAGAACGAGAACAATTATCTCTGCGTTCATCTATTTTTAAATAATAAATCACTTGTTTACTCCTCGCGAGCGAGAAAGGGGATTCTTCCGTAGAGCGAATTCCAATTCGAAGAATCGAGCGAGGAAAGAACGGAGGAAGAAAATATTCAGTATCGGGGTACCAAGAGGCGATTGACCGGAAGAGAAGTTAAACAAAGGCAAACCAAGAGAGAGAGAGAGAGACAGAGATACGCAATATTCGTAAAGTCTCTGATCCCGCGTACTCGGTCGAACGAGCTAATGGAAAATCCCGTGCACACACGAGCGCGCGCGGTTGAATCTCTCCCAGGATCGGGCACTGATACGCTCCGTTGACCGACGACCACCACTTTGTTTAGCGTCGCGACGCACTCGCGACGACAGATGATGGAAGAGACTCACCTGCGAGAGGCGGTTGGTTGAAGGGCCTCGCGGTGACTGCGCCCCGGCTTCGGCGGAAAAGGGTGTGAAGCGTGGACGCGGAGAGATGAAGAGACGGAGGGTGGGAACGGATGCGGCGGCGCCGGCGAAGGGTGGACCAAAAGGGTTCAAAGGAGACGACGAGAGAGCTGGCCGGCGGCGCGCCGGAGCGAGCCGAGAGAGCGAACGAAGGGCTTAAATTCGTGAGCGCGGCTGCTGCCGAGGAGCAAAGCGGGACCGCGTTGCAATCAGTCGGGCTGTGTTATCGGAGCGCCACGAGAATGGGGGTAGAATCACGATCGCCGCCCCCAGCATCCCGGAGACTGAGGCTGGCCGGGAGATCTCTTCCCGGGCAGCGGCAGCTTCTCGCACAAGCGCACTGCGAGTGCTTTTGGTCTATATAGAGCCGCGGGGGTGTTCTTCCCTTTCTATCTCTTCCTCTTTCCAACTCACTCCAGCTTCTCTCGCTCTTTCCTCTTTCCCTCACCTCCAAGAGATGATGTCCCCTGTCCTCCTCGTATCAACTTATGGTACGCGAGACTCCCGCGTCTTGCTTGCATTTTTTTTCTTCTTCTTCTTCCACTTCTTCCTCGTGACGTCGACCACTTCTCGAAATTCCCCTTTAAGGGCGTGGAGAATCGCGACAAAGCAATCGCGGATGTTTAACGATACACAGCCTTCTTCCGCGACGTTTTTCTTCCAGACGAAGAAATAGCTCTCGTTGAAGGGAACGAAATAGTTTTCGTCGAGAGGCTCTTCTCTCTGTTATTTTTTTCTGTATAATTTTTTCTCGTAACATCGACAAATCGCACGACCATGTTTTCGTCGTTAGTTGAGTTTCCGTCATGCGTAAAAATGAGGACACTTCCATTTCTTTGATTACTCTAGTAGGCTAATTTCATCTGCATAGATAGCTGGCGCAACATTTTTCCCATATATTCTTGTTCTAAACCTCATCTTCAATTCTCCTTTATGATTCTTTTTTCGCTCGGGTGCCTCAGAATACCACTTCTCTTTCAGAAAATCTCGTATGAATTTTTCTTAGGTGCAAAATCGTTTCTTTCTTCATATTTCTTTTCAAGAAATAGAGCTTTAAAAAGCTGCACTGCCATTCTCAATAAATCCGTCTGCGATTCAGAAATCTTTTATATTGCCTAATTAATTTTCCACGTGGACATTTAAATGCACGCACAATCAGTTGAAATGTTGTATAGATCTTCAAGTTCATTATTCATATATTTCGGCTACAATTTTTTTCAACGAATCTTTTTGCCAACTTCTGTCGATTAGAACTGTTTAGAAAGAAGTTCTCTCTTTCTCTCTGTAAAGAAATTCCCACCTGTCGTGAATTTTTTATATAGACACGTCCCGCCGTCTTTTTCGCGACTCATTTTCATTGATGCGCCCGTTGCCCTAGATATGTTCTCAATGATATCTTATTTGCACAAAGCAGACATCAAACGCACTTCAATTTACATGTATGAACATTAAAAATTGCTCCTAGAATTTTCCGATTTGAATTTCGTCTCGGACAGAGCAAAATATATTTTAACATACACAATAGACCTTTTCTCTGCTCGCACATAAATCAAGTACGTTTAGAATTTATCGAGAGATTACATACGCAAAAGAAGATATGTAATTCTATAAAATGTGACGAATTAAAAAATCTTCACGATTAATTGTTGATCGCCAGTGATTGGGTAGCTAACAGATTGTCGATATGACAGGACAACTTTCATGTTTCTATTCTTAATTAATGTAATTACTGAATAAGAACAACACTTGAAAAGGACCACAATGTGGGTCGAAACGTAGTGTGTATTTATTTTCAATAAATGAATAGCCAGTTTTTGGTCGAATTTTAAATTGCATCTTATTATTTGTGACGAATTAAACCTGACGAGATTCTTTATTCGCGCACGATTCAAACGTCGTTTCCTAGTATTTACATTCAAGGAAGAACCTGTCATCCAGCCGAATTCTACCTGGATAAAGAGACGAATTTTCGCAAAGTCGAAGAGACTCGAAGCCGAGTATTCGGCTCAGCTATCGTCTATCTCACGGGAAGATGTCGAGAGGGGTGGGCGCGGTGGGTAGTGCGAAGGGGGTGGCTACAGAGGGGTAGGTGCCGAGGAGGAGAGGGAGGGCAAAATGCTCCGTGGTTCTGCGACCCACTGACCCGCTCGATAACGCTTCCACCGAGGTCACTGACCTTCCTCACGCGCGAAATTCGCGTCCGTATGACTCTCTCTCTCTCGCACGTATTTCTCGCGAAGTCAAAGATCGTCTGCGACGAGAGTGTCTTGATTGCCGATAACTTTGACATGTCGGATCTGATGAATGACCGAAGAGGGAAAAGCGCGCGCTAGACGCTGGAAGACGGTGATTGTCAATCTGGAATGCCGGAATTGGTTTTCGATCGGCCGAGGATTCGGCGGAATTTATTGCGCGGCCGCGTTACGCTGCGTCGATTGATGGAGATGAGAAGTCGTAATGAAAAAAAGAGATCAGATCGCCGGTTCTTTGCGAATGCGTGTGCAGAGGAAAAATTGCAGCGCACATTCGTGGGAAGATCCGCGAATTTTTTTTCTACTGTATTTTCCAGATAATTTCTGCAATATTATAATATAATATTTGGAGCATAAACTCTAGCTCGCGATTTTCAATGATTGAATATTGAATATTCAGTATTGAGATTGTTGATTTCTATTCGAGAACGAAACCCGAAACACGTTACGAAACATTCTTAAGTTACACTCTACGAATTGACACGTACTGCACGTGTTTGGGAAGAGTTTATTTAAAAGCATATATTGCGTTGCACTTTCGTAATATTAGTTAGCGCAAATTTAACACTATTTGACAGCTAAATGACGAGACTTGGCGATGGTCCATTTTCAATTCCGGGTTCCATGTCGCAATTTTCTTCCTACAGATATTGAATATTTATTGAAGATATGGATGCTAAAGATTGTGAAAGCACTTTGAGATTAATTTCTAAATAAATTTGTCATTAAATATGATTCATCAAGATTTACCAACTTTTTAAAGACATGTAAATGTAACGAGATTAAGCATTTTCTTTTTGTCTTTAAATATTGTATCGTAATTATAAAAGTTGATCCAGTTATCTTTTTAAAACATGTGTCTTTAATATCTTCTGTTCATCTTTATTATTTTATTAAACAATGTATCCTCATTTTAGTTTACTCAGATTATTATTCATTATTCTTTTGTGCAAATTGGTTAAGATGGCAAGAAAGCATAAAAGAACGAAGTGAATGGGAAACATATCTGTAAGAATCTCGTGATATTAATTATCCTAATAAAGGTGAGATAAAACCTATAGAAAAAAATTAAGCGAGAAATGTCGGTGCTAATCTGATTTATACAATTAAATCGAGCACAACAGCTTTCGCGTTCGCAGTATTTTTCTGCGTGCTGTAATATTGCGTTTCAAGGATTGCGACAGGCGAGACACTCACGCACAGCAGTATTGATTTCGAGACGCGCTGGCAGTGCTGCCACGATTTCGCGTCCCTAGAACTAAATTCTGAGTGAGAGATCACAAAAAACGATAATAAAATATACGATAATAAAAATTTATTCTAAAAATAAAAAATGAATTTTTATGTTTAGAATAGAATCAAATAGGACCTTACATACTGATCATCTTCTCTACAAGACTTTCACTTGATTCTTTAAACTTCTTTGTAATCGGCAAATTATATTATTCTTAAAAATTGTAAAATATGCATTGCCAAATTCATTTATATCATAAATTCATGTGTGCATTATATGTGTGTATGAGTTTTTATATAATTATTTATTATATTATTATTATTTCTTATTTTTGTTATTTTAGGTACATTTTATTTTATATTTTTTATATTATTATCAAGTGTATATTTATTTAATTATATTTATCAAATAAAATCGAATTTATAGATATTTTGTGCATATTTGATCTTTTTATTAATTAATTTTTCTCTCTCAGATTTGCTGTTGGTTAAATTTATTTATGTGGTTTTATGTCCTATTTAAAGGGTACTCGAAAACGACTTTCCTCTTTAAAAAGCGAATATTAATGAATAGCTGTGCACTGGTTGAGCGTAAATTGCTGCGTCAAGTTCTCACAGTTTACGACACGTTCGATGATCTCGATTAAAAAATTGTCTATAATGTGACATGAATTTTACGCCACAGAGAGAAGATGATCGCAATAGATCTTCGTGTTCATTGAGCTAATTAATTTTTAGCTTATTAAAATATGTATAAAGTTAGATATTTTTTCGAGTAGGTATTTTTACGCGCATTTTTATACTCTGTAGTTAATATTAACTTTATCTCTTATTTTTTATTAAATATATTATATATTTTAAATAGTTATTAAACGATTAATGATACTTTTCTGTTTTTAATTACGTAATAGATCGATATATTGGTTAAATATATAAACTTGAAACGCATAAATATACAGCGCTATTATAAGCTACTTGCTTGCTAAAAGTCAGAGCTGACGTCTGTAAGGTATCCGTGTATCGTAAAACGTGTAACTGCTTTACTGTAAGTATCTCTAAAGCTATTTTAAATCGTTCGAAGGGTTCCAGAGACTCTTTAATGATAAGCAATGTACTTGAGGCACGCTATCCGAGTTCCACGTGGTGTAGTGATTTTCGGATTAACACGTGATCCGAATGTTCATACTTAAATTGATAAAGTACAAAAAACGCGCGCGCGAATCTTATAAGCATATATGCCAAGTATTTTTCAGAACAATTTATATTGACTATTGTCATATTATTACTATTACTGTAGATTAAGAATGCCACCTTTCCTGTTGAGAGAAATATAATATTTTCCTGTAAGAATTGGTTAAATATTTCAAAATAGCTTCCGCAAGGTGGATATCACATCACCAATATTTGTGTATCTTTGCAGTCAAGGATCTTGAGAACGTGTATTTGTCAGAATGTATACTTACTTTGCATTCTTTGGCAGCATGCCAGTATTTGGACCGGAATACGTAGGAGTGAGGCAGAGGGGTGGGTTATTCGCATTCTGTGGAACTAAGGGCTGCCTCGCATGCGCTGGCGACGTGTGCGAACCATAGCCATCAGAGTTGAGCTGAAATCACCGTAACGAGAATGAATTTAAATTTTTCAGTAGAGAACTTTTACGCTTCAACGTATTTTTAAATTATTCGTCGTGTACAAATGTGCTATTACAATTTAATTCCGTCTTATGACATATACATCCTCTTAAACGGAATTATAGAATAGTATATCCTGTCTGACGAGAGAGAGAGAGAGAGAGAGAGAGAGATAATTGATAAGCAGCACTGCAAATAGAAATGAAATTTTAATCTCATCAATAATTAGTGAAACAAGACTGAAGAATGCAATATAAGTTTTCATTGAATACTCATTGATCTTCCGTGAAATTTTTTTTACTGTTTTAATCAATGACATTTTTATTGATTTAGAAAAGTAGGCGTTTGAAAAATTATCATATGCTCTTTCTATTTATTTTTTCATCTCTTTTTTTTCAATGACAATATCGATGAACTTATAGTTTTTTTACACAATTAAACTCTAATAAATAACGGTATTTTTAAAAAATTGTTGAATTGATTAAAAAAGCATTACATAAATATCTGGATGATGAGACAGCTCTATATCTTC